AGCGTCACACGTATAAATAAGCCAAGGATGAAATAGGGAGTTCCCTATATGTAGTACTTATCATTTGAAATCCAAACAATACTGAGTTGCAGTGAAGCTAGCATTTCCTTCTCCCTCTGTAATACCCAAAATTTAAATTATTAATTACCTATGGTAATACCCACAACTTAAATACATGTAAAAAATAGACACAGCAGCTAAAATACTGTAAGAGGTAAGACATAATGTTTAGAACCTATATTTTTCAGATTCCAATTCCCTGCCCTGACACAGACTTCCTACATAGTCCTGGAAAATCATTTACTGTTTCCATGCGTCAAATCTTACACATAAAAAATGGAGACAATAGAACTTCATTACCTCATAAGGATCTTGCAAGGATAAACAAAAGATTGCAAAATGTCCACGTATTATGGGACTGAAGGGCACAAAGATAGGTAAAAACAAGAAATATTTTAAAATAATATTAAAATATTTTATTAATCTTATAGATGGAGCACTGCTCTAACGTTATTCACTACATTAGCTCCAGTGAGACTGCCAACAGTACTGCTTGCCTGTTTACTCTGTGAACTAGGGTGAAATGAGAGCACTTCTGACATTCTCACAGTAAAAGAAAATAATGTAATATGCATACTTTTGTACAGTAAATCCATGAGAGGTTTTTTGCAGTATGAAAGGAAGCTTGTAGGCTTTTTTTTTTTTTTTTAAAGCTAATGATGTTACAGAGATTATCAGCAAACCATATCACCAAATTCGTCCTCAGGGGGTAAAATTCACACCCTACAGTAACCAACAAAAGACCACTTAAACTCTAATTTCAATCTTGATGATGGAGCCTGTGACAGACTTCTATTAGCATAACACAGGAATACCTTTCTGGATTAAAGTATAGAAGGCACGTCTCCGTCTTGGGAGCATCACCTTCAAGGTACTTCAGGTACGCCACAAAGAAAATTCAAGGGAATCTGTTATAATCTGGTTTCAATTTAAGCACACAACACACACCAATCTCTCTTACTTATACTTGTTGATTTAAAGAAGTGTACATGCATGTACTTCCATGCTTTTTTTAAAACCAGGAAATCCAAATTCATCTGTTTCATTAAAATAAAATCATAGTGTGTCTGTATATTCTAGTCTTGTACCCAAATAGTTATAGAAATAGGCTGGATTCAGAAAGTATACTCTTCTGTGAATCAGGAAGCGAGCAACGGGACTTCTCTATTTCTGAAACTCAAGTAATTAACAAAAGTGAAAATACAGAACAAGATTAGTATTTAAGAAATACTTTCCAATAAATAGCTATGAGATGACCTTCAAGTAGCAAGGGAAGAAAAATACAGTTTGCTGATACAGCTATGCTTTCAAAAAATAAATAATTAAGTGCCTTTTCTAAGAGCACAAAAGTAATATTTTGAAGGCAGGACAAGGGAGACAAGAAGTCACCACTATATGCCTGTTTTTCTCTCTCTCACACAAACACACTCACTCAGAAATTAGGGACACCAAATCTCAGAGCCTGTGTTTCTTGCTTGAGATCTGCAGGATCACTACGCCTACCAAGCTTCAACCGGAGGAATGGAAAGTTGGATCTGTAACAAAGATTATTTTTCCACCGTCGGTTTAATTTTAGAAAGGTGCTAACAAAAGGCACAGTTTTAAACACTCCAAACACGTTATTTCCCTTCCCCATTCATCAAATTCTGCTTCCTTTTGGATATACGATGCCACAACACAATTAATTCTTTATTCAGCTACTTTAGCTGAATAAACAGCTTTTTCCTGTGTGGAGGAAAATACAAGTTGATGTCATAAAAAAAGAAAGCCAGCACCTCCCTCCCAGGAAGACTTTCCCGTGCACCAAAGCCAGCCGAGCAGGGGCAGAGGCCCATGCCCGCTCCCCTCCGCAGTCCGCGCCTCGCGCAAACCACAGGCGGCGTGCTCCGCGGACCCTCGCGGTTCAAAGGCGCCGCCCTCCCTCCGACAGCGAGCACCGAGGCGATCCTTCTGCCGCGCTAACGAGACACCTCGTCCCTTGCGCAGGCAGGGGGAGACCAGGAGC